TCTAAATGCTTAAATTTACACTTGCATCTCAAATTGATTTTCGGCAAAGGACAAACTGACCCTCTTCAAAATCACCTGGTGGGAAACTGAGAAATCATTACTTAAAAATTTTGCCACCAGGTGGTTGCCAAGACGTACCACTTCTGATACAGCAGGGGTTTCAACAATTTTCACCTCTATGATTAGCAGGCGAATTTTCTGCAAATTGACTTACAGATATGATACCGGGGGCACTAGAGGGTTAAAGGAAGGGGCGCGTCAAAAGTGCCTCAAGGGTTCGTCTGATCGCCAAAATAAGGGTCGCAATCGATTCCTCGGGTCAATCTCTAGCCGCAGCCTTGGGTTCCAGATGTGTGCAACTTACCCCTTACCCCTTAATCGGCCCTTAAAGGAACCCGAGGCTGCGGCTAGATATTGACCCGGGGAATCGATCGCGACCCTTATTTTGGCGATCAGACGAACCCTTGAGGCACTTTTGACGCGCCCCTTCCTTTAAGGGCCGATTAAGGGGTAAGGGGTAAGTTGCACACATCTGGAACCCGAGGCTGCGGCTAGATATTGACCCGAAGAATCGATTGCGACCCTTATTTTGGCGATCAGACGAACCCTTGAGGCACTTTTGACGCGCCCCTTCCTTTAAGGGCCGATTAAGGGGTAAGGGGTAAGTTGCACACATCTGGAACCCGAGGCTGCGGCTAGATATTGACCCGGGGAATCGATTGCGACCCTTATTTTGGCGATCTGACGAACCCTTGAGGCACTTTTGACGCGCCCCTTCCTTTAAGGGCCGATTAAGGGGTAAGGGGTAAGTTGCACACATCTGGAACCCGAGGCTGCGGCTAGATATTGACCCGGGGAATCGATTGCGACCCTTATTTTGGCGATCAGACGAACCCTTGATGCACTTTTGACGCGCCCCTTCCTTTAAGGGCCGATTAAGGGGTAAGGGGTAAGAGCTAGGGCCAAATAAAGGTCATATTCTTGCTCCCCGGCCCCCAATTGACCTAATATGAGTTTTTTAAGCGATTCTGAATCCGACGCTGTATTCGTTGCTGTTGCTGACGCTAACTTCACGGACATTCACTGATAGTAGGTAGCAGGTCTGAATTTGAAACTTAAATTTTCTCATGCAGCATGGATCAACAAAGGATGCTAAACGATCGGCAGGAGACTAAATTAGTAAACGGAAATGCATTAGGTACAAATAACTTACTGCGAAAGAGCGAAAAGGCAGGCGGACAGCCTTACCTGACCCTGCTGGTCCCTTCCTATCCGCGCTTCAGACGTCTAGCCACTGCGCCAGCACTTGCTGTTTATCTTAAAAGATCGACTCACGCTCACAAGCCACACCTCAGACCTCTCAAGAAGGTACCCAGAGGCCAGATAAGATACAGCAGATGCCGGCACCTGGCGGGCGTACCAGACCTGCGCGACACCTACCGGTCATTCATGTGAACTACATTGATATCCGGCCTCTGGCAGCTGGCGCCACCTATAACTACGGGGCCGGATATGCGTACTACCAGGGCCCTGCCCAGGGCGACCTATCTATCATCACTGATCAGACGGATGGGCAGCGCCGGAGGGCAGGCGGAGCCGTACTTGGAGAAGTCAGCCGATCAGCCTTGGCTAGATACGGGCACCGCTCGGCGGGGCTGGCGGCACTCGACGTGAGCCGCTGGCCCGTGAGACGGACACGGACTTGGGACTCGCCGGCGATCATAGCTTATCCCAGACGTCATCGACCACTGTCGGAGATTGTCGGCCGTCGGCCATGAATCTCAGGACTATTATAGTTAGGGCGACGGGCGTTGATGCCACGACAATAGCGCAAAAGTTGTTGACAATGAATTATGAATACACCGCTGACTGAGGTTAGAAATTGTGGATAACATTCTTGCATCTCACAGCCGTTCTAAACAAAATTGATCGGATAACTTGATATTTGCCTGTCAAAGGGCGACTTGGTGTGAGAAGTGAACACATAGCTTGAAAATTTTGACAGACTGGGCCGGTAGGCATAATACACGTCACACACGTTATTGTTGCTTTTCGACCGGGACCAGTTGTCCACGCGAAATTATCGAACGCCACAATCGATGGCCCTGTCGAACGAAGCAGGCACATCTCAAGAATTTTACACCAGGTAAGCTCCAGCTCTATCCAATTAATGCTTCAACCGCATTGTCTGTGGTGACCGCAGCTACGCCGGATAGTAGCCCTACACGAAAAAAAATCCCGCCGCCCTCCGCTCCCTTCCCCGCCCGCGGCCCAGGGCCACCGAACTTACCGTTCCCCTCCCGTCTCCAGGGCCGGTCGCTGTCCGAACCGACCCGGCGGCACCCCTCCCAAACGCGGCGAGTTTCCCGCCACAACGGAGAGACGCTCACGTGGCAGCCGCGCTCCAGCGAGCGCGCGTCAAGGTCAGCCGCGACGGCGGGAGAGGCCGGTCGGCGCGCCGGGAGGGCGGGGGCGCGCGATGGCGGGAGCGGGACACCGGCCGCCGCGCGTCACTGAACTGGCCGGACCAGTCGCCGGCGTGGCGGGGACGGACGGATGGCCGCCGCCGGCCCTCGCCGGACCGACTGGCCCGTCCTGAGCCCGCCAGAGGCGATGGGAGTTCATGGGAAGCGCCGGAGGTATGCGAATTAGAAACCGGGACCGTCGGCCGGTCAGACCAGAAACCGGGAGACGTTCCAAGGCGGCGTGGTATGCACGTGCAATGGTGTGACCGTTCATTCAGTAGGTATTTCAACGGTATTTCTCTATATTGTGTCGCGAGCAGCATAATGTATCCTACATTATGTCCCACACAGCACACCCGAGTCACCTTACCAGACGAAATGTATGATACCGCTAAAACGATGGAAGTTCGTAATAACTGCTCAACGGGATGTCCGAGCACCCGCTCATTCATTGACATTTCAGAGTTCGCTGAAGAGGAAATATTGCAGGGAAACACCAAATTCCAGGCAATAAATGCAGTCATTTGTGAGACGGTCTAGCGTTTTCCCCCATCCAACACGAGACAGAGAAAATGTATAAAAAGAGACGTCGAAGGTGGCATTGCCTTACATGAGTCATATCTGATAAGCGCTTGGAACGAATATTTTTATGGTAAATGTAGCAGTGTTCGAGCCTGGATCGCTATTCGCTTATTAAGCAGTTTGCACCGCCACACCCGCGCCACGCGCCGGTGCGCCCAGTCACTCCACCAACCGTGACAGTCACATTCCGCGTCACTTCCGTTCTGTTCAGCCCCATCCGTTACGGTGGGGGGGGGGGGGGGGCTCCGGCGGCCCCGGCCGGCCGACTGGACTGCGCCACTGCCCGGGAAGTTGCGCCCGATTTGGACCGCAGCGACCGCGGTGGTATGTTGCAACTGCCCCTGCAACTGCAACTGGCCCCTGTTACTGTGGATTTCTGTGCGACCACAATCACTGAGTCTAGAACGGTGAGGAACCTCGGAGTGACGATGGACCGTCATTTGAGTTTTGAGCCGCATGTCGACAGCGTTACACAGAAATGTACTGGCATGCTCATAGCACTGATGCATGCACGTCATGTTGTGCCGAGGTCTGCCTTGAAGTGCATCGTCCAGTCACTAGTGATCTCGGTATTGCGATACTGTTCGTCCGTCTACGGATCGTGCGGAGAGACGCAACTTCGGCGGCTCCAAAAAGTACTGAACTTCTGTGCCCGGGTCGTGTCGAACAAGCGGCGTCGCGACAGTGTGGCATCTGCAATGCGCGAATTGAAATGGTTATCTGCCAAGCGACTAATTGACTACCACACCGTGTGCGCTGTACAGCGAGCTATCGTATCTTCCCAGCCTGAGCGCCTGAGCAGCACCATAGGGCGCCAGGCGAGCAATCGCCACCAGCACGACACAAGGCGCGCCAGTTTGCTCACGCTCCCGTCCATTCGGACGGAGGCAGGCCGACGGCGGCTGTGCTACAGGGGAGTGGCACGACTCAACCAGCTCAAAGTTGACCCAATGGTGGCATCTTTCAGAGCTAACGCTGTGAAGGTGCTGCGAGCAATGCCTGAACAAGATGCTTAGATTATGTGTGTCTATGTTGAGCATACGTACTGTGATTTGTGAATGCGTGGATGTGTGCTCGATATACTCCCCCCTCCCCATGATGTCCCCCATCGTATGACGTGAGCTTGTGAAAAGCCACTCCATTGTGTGGATCTGGCTCGAATATATCTGTATCTGTATCTGTATCTGCACCCAGCCGCCGCCGATCGGACTGCAGACAGCTCGAGGGGGCAGAGGGCGCTCGGTCGCGGGGCGGATCAGCAGCGGGCGTGGCAGAGTCGCGGCGGTCGCACAATCGGCCTATCCGGCACGGCGCGGCTCACGGGCTCCTCGCAGGTCCCTGTCGAGGCAGCTGATAGCCAATCTGTGCTGAGTGCGGCCGGGGGCCACGTCAGCCCGCGAGCGGCGCCGGCCCCGCTGACGGCGCTGATTCGGCCCCGGATAACCGCCGCCGCCGCAGCAGCAGAGCGCGGCGGCTATTTGCAGCTCTCGGAAATGGCAGTCCCAGGCGAAGACACGGTGGCCGGTCAGACGGATTGAACTACATCACATTTTTTCAGCCACACGTGCTCGTGGCTCGCGAAGCCGCCGTGGCACCTCACGATGGTGGCACATGCCCCAAGGCGCCCGGCATGCTTCCCCGAAGCCGGTCAAGACGCCAGGCTGATTTACGGCCGTGTTGCCGAGTGCAGATGCCAGCCTCGGGATGCGGGCACCGGCAAAATAAACCTTCGCTTCACTCCGCAGAGTGCGGACTTTAACCGCAACAGTTTTCAGAAGCATCAATTTGGTCGGCCACGCAAAAATTGTAGCTACCCGGACAGTGTTAAGTTCAAGAAAAAAAAATAAGATAGCTCGGAGATTAATCACGTTTGACAGAAGCAGTAATGCGCATCGATGTAGACGGTGGTTTCCAAAATTGCTTATATGCCCGCCTCTTCATTTGCAAAACACATTTTCACTCTGATCTCAGTCATATATTACCATGCTCTTCACGCTAAATCACTGTTAAAATCACGTTTGACTGACATTGGTATCGGCATGTACCCTCCACTTCTGGCGAGCCCTAGCCCGCTTTCACAATACGCCTAGCGCCCATAAATAAAACCAGAACCACGCTGGAAACGCAAACAGAACGCATCACGGGGGAACACGGAGAATAAATGGTGGACACGAAGAGCGGTGACGACAGCGCATGGCGACGATCGCGGCTACCGGGCGACCCCAGCTACCACAGTGGAGACGTATAAAAATCAGGAATGTAGAGGACTGAAGGTCTCGGCCCGCCAGTTGGCGTCTGGCGCCGAGCCGTCCGCCGCCACGCCCGCACCGCACAATATAGCACCTATATTGTCACGATGCTCTGTTGTAATACGGCACGCACCGGTTGTTCCGCTGCTCACTTGGACGTCATCATTGTGACGAACTCTGCGGGACAGAGAGACACAGGTGTTAATATGATAAACAAGGGACAGGCCAATATCCAGCAAACTCTCCGCTCCGCTGACTTTACACGGTCGGAGCAGCCCATTCGCCACGGTGGCGGCAGCAGCCAGAGCTTAGCCTCGCTATTATTAGTTCATGTTAAGCCGCTGGCGTAGATAAATGACGCTGCGGTTCGCTTTAATTGGCTAATAAATGAAACACATTTTACCTTTATTGCTCACCCAGCCGTCACTTATACAACACAAATCACTTCCAGCATAGTAGCCCAGTTCCTACTCGAAATATTCCCCCCTCTCCCCCAGCTGAGTACAGCACAAAAGTACACTAGGTACGATAGAAGTATCCCTTCTGCCGTGTGGTACTGACCTTCGTAGTTGACCTGGCCGTCTCCGTCGATATCGGCCTCCCGGATCATCTCGTCCACCTCCTCGTCTGTCAACTTCTCACCCAGGTTGGTCATCACGTGCCTGACGACAAAAGACAACGAGGTCAATCAATGAACGACAACCATCCAACAATGCAATCGTGCAGCATGTCTCGATAGCAAACATTTTAATTCGGCTGAAAAACTTGTCACTCTAGCTCACTCTGCCCCATTTCACATTCGGATTTGTCCGATAAGCATTGTTCCGATCGGAAATGCTGTTTTAGGCCAATGCGCGATTAACGTTTAGCTTTCAGTTGGCGTCTCCGGTCATACGACGTCCACACTGCTAATTCCAGAGAAAGAATGCAGCCGTTACGCTGAAATGACGCCATCCCTCAGGAATCTCGGGTGGTCTGTCTCCACCGGCGGCCATTTGGCACCTGAACGCACGCCAGGCCCGGCCAGACGGCCGTTAGAGCACCGTCTGGGAGCCAGCCGACTGCCAGTCACCAGAGGCCCGCCCCGGCCAGACAATGAATAGACCAGCTGCACTTTAACCGCCACCTGTCAGCCGCAAACGCCTGCACAAGTGTAGAAACTGAGTGGCATCAGTAGTGGATGCGTGGCAAAGCTATTTAACCTGTCCGTTTGACGGAACTGATCTGGTATTCAGAAAGTAAATCAACAGTGGAAAGTTACTAAGTTTAACACCGGTTCAACAATCAACATGCCTCGCATCAACGTGTTGCACTTTTGAGCATCATTAAACCGCAACATCGCATTGGCAAGTGGGCATCATTCATGAAGCGTCATTAAGTATGCTGGCAACGTCGCATTGCTACTGCTATCGCCTACTGCGGAAATGTGGCCCCTTTATAGGAAGCGCAACAAGTGACTGCTCTTAGCCTGAACATAATTGTTTATAAGTGTAAAAAACTAAGTTAAGGGCAACTGCTAAACTTTGTTAACGTTAGCCCTAGCCGTGCTGGACAGTCTAGTTTACGCCCATATGACCAACGCTAGACATGTAAATGAATACCTTCGGAAAACAAATACTAGGGCACCGAGTGCAAACCGAGCTCTTCATATTACAATCCCATCTGTCCTGGCACACCGGCCGACCGTTACCGCCACCCCTGGCGCGACACCCTCGCGCCAACGGCCATACATAATGCAGCACCCTGCGGCCGAGGCGAGTCAGTGCCTCGACCTTGGATCAATACGGGCATGCAGGGGTCCGTTACCGAAAACTGCACTACCGACGACACGTCACAGCGGCACAAACAAAACAAACCGCGAGGCCGCGATCGACTGAGCCCCCGGTAAACCGTAATGTTATCGCAACTCCTCCGATCTATATAGAGTACGGAACCGGCATGGCGTTTGACCACATTTCCTGATTTTACAACCCACCTGAGCTCGGCAGCTGAGATGAAGCCGTTGCCGTCCTTGTCGAACACGCGGAAGGCCTCCCGGATCTCCTCTTCTGAGTCGGTGTCCTTCATTTTCCGCGCCATCATGGTGAGGAACTCGGGGAAGTCGATGGTGCCGTTTCCTGCAAACGGTACAATTCCATAAGACGTTACACCTTGTACGCTGACACTGATCGAAGGTGGGCATATTTCAATGCACCTGTGTCGAGTTCCCCACCCTACGCCATCTCAAAGCCAGGTATGGACCCCCCCCCCCCTCTTAAAAGTTTGGAAGACCACCAGCGAGCGCAACCCGTCATAACTCTGTCATCATTCCCTACTCCGCACCCCATGGTGCCGCGTCAGTATCCGGTCAGGCGGAACTCTCCCGGCGACCAGCGATGACTCATAACCGCACCGCCGCCGCACCCCCCGCAAGTCACCACGCCCTAGAGAGCCGGCTATCGCCGCGGTCCTGAACGAACTCGCGACCGAAAAGGCGCTCACCGTCCGCGTCCACCTCGTTGATCATGTCCTGCAGTTCGGCCTCGGTGGGGTTCTGGCCCAGGGAGCGCATCACGGTGCCCAGCTCCTTGGTGGTGATGGTGCCATCGCCATCCTTGTCGAACAGCGAGAACGCCTCCTTGAACTCGGCGATCTGCTCCTCGGTCAGCTGGTCGGCCTGTTGAATCAAAGATACAATTACAGGTGGAGAGAACCGAATGAGAGATGGTTACATTATCCACGCAGTATAACTGAAATCAATTTTGAATTGGTCTTAGTTTGGTACCTCCTATCCAATGCCTCAATTTGACATTCCAATTCGTTGGACCCAATTTTAGCAAAATGGAAACTGGCTCAAATTCAACTGGAGGCAGGACATTCCCAAGGAAGAATAAATGTCCTGCGGTGCTCCAATAACGATTCTAGACGAGGATTGAGCTTGACTGATACATGTAGATAGAAGGCAGCAACAGATTTAAGCGATTCCAATTTCCAAATCAGAAAACGCTAAGAAGGGCATCCAATTTTGCTTCATTTTACCCCTCTTCACTGCGCGGCAAACCCGACGCACCGTCACCGCCAGCTCAACGGAGAGGCCTGTCCGAGGTACCAGAAATGAAGGGCATATATCCAGAAATTAGCTATCTTTTAACCGGATCAATCTCACCAGCCTGGGTATCCAATCTCAAATCCATTCCATGTCGGCACTGCGGCCATCCAGTCACCGCGAATCGGCACTTCACTTCTAAACCATCACACTTGATTTCACACAAACACCAAGTGCAAGTTGCCGCCATATCCATACGTACCATGGTGATATGATTTGCTCGCGACGGCACACCTCACACGACACGAATTCAACCCGAACTGAGCCACGGAACGAAATGCGGCGAGCAGTTTCCCGCGCCGACCACACCGCCTCGGTCGCCGTGAGCAGGGTACTACTTTCACACACTGCTACACAATCACGTGAACAAGAAAATCCTCGCTATTTTGTGCATGAAAAGTGATGGTTAACAAATAAATGATTTGTTGCTGTCATTTAAAACAAAACTTTACGTCTTTTGAATCGCACTATTCTAAAAACTCTTCGAACACTTGGTACTATATTCTCCCGGTGTGTGGTAGTCATACGCGCCGGAGCCGCTCCTGCTCTCTGATTGGTCGATTCTTTACTGCAATGCGACACTCGGTGCCCGCGCGGTCCCGGCCCGCACCGACGCTGTTCCCAGACAGCCGATGGCGGAACCGGTCGGCATCTCCAAAGATCGGAAAGCCGTCGTGAATCGTACGCACGCGGCACGGATTAGGCAAAGATGCTTGATTTCCACGATTTGAGTGCCAAACTGCGAATTAATTATCATCGCTTGGCTCACTTGTGTGGTAGAAAACGGTTTACGTTATCAATTACAGACGAAACCCCTATTTTTTTTTTTTTAACAACTTTCTAGTCAAATTTTTAAAAATTTTGACTGGACATCTACCTAGCGCCGAAAATACCCTGGACGTGCGTTTTTCAATAGAAAAGGTCAAAGGACGGGGGGTGGCCGCTCGATCACCAAGAACTTATCAATTCATTATCCGTATCAACTATCAACCGAGATGGCCTGAGCGAGCATTTGCCCTCGCCGGACCTTCCAGTTTTCTGCGTAGTCCCGGCCGAGCGGTACCTACGGGAATGGGGAGGGGGGGGGGGGGGGTGCGACCCAACTCACCGTTTCACCCCTTATTGAACTACAGACGCGCGGGAAAAAATGAGCATGTGTGCTGCTGCGAAACACATCGACTGGTACCCCATTTTAATGTCTCTGGTCATCTGGTGATATCTGAGGTCAGGTCAAGTGCCCCAACGTATGGGTTCGTTTTTGGTAAATTACTTTGCAAAAAAAGGTCGCAGACAGTAGCGGCGGAACACCTTCAATTAAGGGGGGGGGGGCACTACCGACTTTTGGTCCCATTCTTTCCATGCAACGCCCATAGAGCTAATGTTAAAATGCCAAAATCAAAGGGGGGCACGATGCCCCGGTGTCCTCCTCGTTCCACCGCCTTTGGTCGCAGAGCCGCAATTTTTTTGCACCATCGTGCTCTCCATGCTCGGGCGCGTCGAATAATATTTTTGTTTATGTGTGGTCAACTTAGAGAGTTGACTGCGGGTCAAGGTCAGGTCAGAGCTCCTCAGGTCACGAAATCTGTCGGAAGAGGTCATATTGCATATTATTCGATTCGGAAGGTCTTTCCGAGTCCATTGATGATTTTCCTGACTCGCTAGCTCAATTTCATTTCCATTGACAAAGAACTCAAATGACCTTAGTCGGGGAAAGTGGGTGTATTGCGCCCTCCTAACCAATTGCGCCCACCAACATTCCCACGGATGCAATGGCATGTGTAGAATTTTGTGTTCGAAAACATTATTTTCACCACTGGATTGTTCATTTTATGGCCCAAACACTCCGATGAAGCCAATCAGCAAGGCTCATTACGCCATCAAAGATGTTATGGCGTTTTCTTAACTTTTTTGCAGTATTTTGAACCGTTGGCTATAAAAATTTACGATATTTGTGTGATTTTCAGAGTGATATTTAGAAAGAAAACCCCCTTTTTCATCGTATATCACTGAAACCGTAAACTTCCTGCAACATCTTTATGATAACTTCTATGCTTTTATTAAAAAGTGCCTCAATTTTAATTGCGCCCATGGCAATTGCGCCAGGGGGGGCGCAAATATAATAATGGTGTAGCCATTGTATCACGACAGTATGAATGCATCATTAACTGATTGCAATAAAGAAGGAGTTTAATGTCAGGCAAGGGAGCAGCCCGCTGTCGTTAGTCCGCAAATTATTTCTCTCGTCAAACTTATAATGCAGCTGCCATTTAGGCCACGACTTAAGGTGTACCTAATTGACAAAATACGACATTTTCAACATGGACTCAGGCGTGAGAAGTGACAGCTATGATAAAAAGTAAAAACTGATGTCATTAAGTTGTCAAAACGTTAAAAATTATTAATTTTGAAAGAACCGATTGAAAAGTTAACTGTATAGGCGCATACGTTCACATATATCTAGTCGGTTACAGTAAACGTTTTCGTTGCACTTTTACAAGCGTACGGACACATGTAAAGTTATCTACCTGGGCAAAAAACATCGCGATTTATATCTACATTTATTATTCATCCAACCTGAACAACATTATAAATGTTTAAGCAAGCCGCAATGACATTAGACTGCCGGGGTGTATGCATTCCGTCTCATTCACTTAGCCATGTTAAAGTATAGGGCGCAATTGGGTTCTAATTGCGCCATCCCCCTGGCGCAATTTGCAGCAGTTGTTGGCAAATGCGCCCTTTTGCATGTTTCTGAAAAGCAGCTGTCAGAATCAAACGAAACATTCTTAATTGACCAGGAGGCTCATAAATCGTAGCCAATGAGCTCCTCTTTGAAATGGTTATCAGTGCATGCTTATATCTCCAGCGGTTTTCTTGCAATTAGCGTTTTTCCTTAAGGTGGCGCAATTCACCCTGCTTCCCCTCCTTAGTGGCGTCATAAATGACGTCACGCAAGGTCAACGATGCAAAAGTGAGGCATCGCACCTTGCAAGGAGTGCATTAAATTACGCTTACATGTGCAATTGAGGTAGTTATCCCCAGCGTCAAAATAATAGTTTCAATACACATTTCCAACCTAGGCTTACAATGGTTAGGTGACCTGACCGACCCGACCTCAGGTGACATTTGCGAAAAATCCGAGTAAGTCCTATAAAAACTCCTCTGAAGTCTGGAGGATAATATGGTCCTATAAGTTTCCCTGTGAAAGCTTCTCTGGCACCGAGGAGTAAGAGCACTGCGAAAATTTGGCATTTTAGAATCGCGCAGGGCAGGGGTTTACTTATGACGTCATGGCCAGGTCAGTGACCTGACCTTATCTGAAAATGCGGTTAGTGTCACAAGATCTAGCTTGAATCAACTGTCTGACGTGCCGAATTTCATCTCTCTCTCTCTCTCTCTCTCTCTCTCTCTCTCTCTCTCTCTCTCTCTCTCTCTCTCTCTCTCTCTCTCTCTCTCTCTCTCTCTCTCTCTCTCTCTCTCTCTCTCTCTCCCCCCTCTCTCTCTCTCTCTCTCTCTCTCTCTCTCTTTCTCTAATCTCTATCTCCGGTGTGTTCTTGGCTATTGCAAAAAAAAAAACGTATGAGGGGGAGAGGCCACACCCCTTGGCCGCTCCCCCCGGCCGATTTAGGGGCGGCCGATTTACCTAGGCATGCCGATTTTGCCCAGGCATGCCGATTTACCAGGCATGCTGGCTAGTTTATTCTACTCTCCCTTACCCAAAGCGGCCAAAGCATCCCATAAACTGCAAAATAATCGCAAGTTTTAAATGCCCTTTTAGTTGAAAGTAGATCCATACCTAGTCTACACAGAAAGAACATCACTTATTTATTTGAATTAGTCATTAAAACTAAATCATATTACCTGGCGTGTTACCTAAGCCTACCTAGCCTACGGTTTACCCCAAACAACGACCATTCAGATATTTATAGTCACCGTGCATTCAGACAATTGACCTGACCTTGACCAGTGACCACCTTATTTCTTTCGGAATTGAACCGACGCTCCGCCGCCCTGGGGGCCGGCCCGGGGTCCACCTACTTGGGCTTCTTGACCACGCAGCGACACGTAAGCGGCGTTCGAAAGTGCGTCAACATAACGAATTAAGTATTTGGGTCCTTTTTAGGTCAGCTCTAAGGTAAAGTCAACAGAGGTCATCGGAGGTCAAAGCCCAAAGGTCACATTTTTGACATTTGTAGACAGTTCGGCAGGTCTCACTTGTTGACTTGTGTCACTTCCGCTGAATTCATGATATCCATAGGAATAAGAATATATGGTATATCAAACCCAAATGACGCGGCCTATGCTCCCTCATTTCTCCCAGACTGCGTGGGCGGATCAGCCATCGAGGGTCGAGGCCAAAATCAACCATTCAGCTCCCCACTGTTGACCTTCCGAGAATGATGTAGGCGATCCGTTACACACTGACCATTCACACCCGCCCACGGCGTTTCTTGGGCATGCCAGAATGAGGGCAGGCGCAACTCCGCCACACACGGCGGCCTCGCCGAGCCCCGCGCCGCCCCGTGTCATTTCACGCTGACCGTGCGACCGGCCGAGACTTTTCCGCGGTGCACTGACCGACCCCAAGTCGGTGCGCACCGCAGCCTGTTGCATTGCGGCTATCGACTGGCTCGGGTCGCCCGGTTGGCGTATCGACCGCCCGCCGCCGCCGCCGGCACCGCCGCGGGCGCTCTCGTGTCAAGGACGCGAGTGGTGACGTCATCCGAGCCCTGCGGCACAGCGTGCGGCAGGCGCAGCGGCCGGGAGCAGCCAGCGCGGCGGGCCGTGGTCGATGGAGCCGTGACTGGACCGCTGATGTGGCTATTTACTGTGTGGGTCATGCGGAAGAAAGCTGCAGACTGCAGTTCCATTTCTAAAAATAAGCTGTGAAATCGTATCGTACTGCGATGTTTGCTATAATTATGAGTGCATTATATAGCAACTTCAGCCGAAACACTTAAATATTTACTTATTTATGCGTAGGTACAACGGCACCCACACAATTCGTGGCTTTTCAGCCGAAGGGAATATGCTTCGAATTTCGCAGGGATTCGAGATGCTGGATCCCGAAATGCACTCAACGAACAGGATTAACTCGGCTCGGATTTTCTATAAACAGATACAAATCTTAAAATCCGCTTTGTGCCAAAGGAATAAGAATGACACTTTTGGCTGATGCCTTCGTTTGCGAGGCCGAGCATCTGTGCTTCATGTATCTTTTAGACGAAACGGAAAACCATTGGAATCATTAAAGAGAAAAATATACAATTCACAAATTTTCAAAGTGAGGTAAGATTTGTGCAGACTATCGACGGCACCGTGCTCTCATCATCGCCCATCGGGTCATTACCCTCATAT